CCTGGGGCACAGCGCATGGGTCACCTTCCCACCTAGAAACCCAGAGAAAAGGGTCAGCCAGGAATGCCCCCACCCAAACGAAGGAGAAGCTCATTCCCAGCGTGGGCTGGGGGGGCTGGGAGCCAGGACTCCTGGGTTCTCTCCCCGGCTCTGGGAGGGGACTGGGGTCTAGTGATTAGAGCAGGGCGGGCAGCAGGGGACGGTCTCCTAGGATGGCCAATGGTATGAACACGAGATTCGCCGCTGCCCGTCAGCTGGGCTCCCGCGGACGAAATCTGAACGCAAAGAGGCAACGGCCCTGATGGATCCACCCCCAGGACGGCGTCTTCCCATCATCCCCGGTCAAGAATTCACAGATCTCAAGCTCAGTTGGGACTTCCGGGATCACTGAATCCGAGCTCCGATACAACCCCTGGGCAGATCTTTTAGCAAAACACCCCATCTTGACCGCAAACTGGCCCGTGACGGCGGTACAGCTGAGACGCGTTTATCCCGCAGGGAATCAAGAACTTTACATCCAAAAGTTGTTGGTTTTTTCCCTATCAAAGACTGGCCTTTTTGCTCAGTCTGAGACTTTCACCCAAAACGTCTCGGGGAACTTTTGGGTCGTTGGTCGTTAAGCCTCCAATTTTCTGAATTCTGCAACGTCGCGTCGTCTAACCGAGCTGATTTTCTCCTTTGAAAGTTGCATTTTGCCACGTGAGCTAATTTCCGAAATGGTCCCTTTTCCCCTCTACGTTCGAAATGCCACTTTTTCAAATGCCGCCACCGTTTCTATTTTTAGAAACGCCAAAATTTCTACTTGAAGTTTTCTCATTTCAAAGCCTCAGTTTGTCCAATGAATCCATTCTTTCTAATTCTGACATTTCAATTTTCCTAACAAAAACACGTGTTACATTTGGAACTGTCGGTTTACCTAAACCATCCAAATTATCTTGTACTGACATCGTTGATTTTCTAATAAAGCAAATATTCCCAAGTTCAAACTGTTTTCATTGAATCAGTTTCTATTTTTGACATTGAAAAAGTCCGGAATAAACCTTTGCTCTATTTCTGAAATGTCAACATTTCCAATTAATCCATTTTCCTCATTTTGAAACGTCAGATTTGCTAATGAAACTACTTGAAAAACACCGGGACGTCCATTCATCTCGTTAAGCCAAGTTCCTTATTTTGGAAGTGTCCAACTTTGTACCGTTGGACATTCAAAATGTCCTTTTCACTTTTGAAAACTTTTGAAATATCAAATGTTTTTAATCAGAGTCATCACATCTTTCCAGTTTTTACATTTCAAAAGTTCTAATTACTACAATTTGCTTCAATTTCCAATTTCACAAACAATCTTCTTTTGAAAATGGATTTTTTTTTAAATTTCCAATTTTTAAATGGCCTGATTCAGCCAATCCTCCTCATTTTGAATTTGCCGCTCAATCCAATTTCCAAATCTTCACTTTTCAAAGTTCCTAATTAGCCTCTTTCTTGAAACTGCTCCCTTTTCGATGATTAAATTCCGATTTCTGTACATTTCAAACGTCCTAAGTAACCCAGTTTCCTACAGGTGAAATGTCCCATTTTCGAATCAGTCAGGCCCGGCTCGTCAAACGCATTTCGGTGCCTAATTCCCTTTGACTGATGAAATCTGAGCACGTTGAGTGCCGTGAAATGGACAATTTCTCCTCTCCCAATCCTTAACACGCGGGAGCAGAATTAGACATGGGATTACAAACGAGGCTTTGTCCACGGGCATTAACACTTCCCGATCTCGGCTGGAAAAACCTCGCCTGATCCATCCTGTCACACCAACCACCTGGGGGGGGGCAGGGTTTCATGTGACTCATCCCTTCCTCCCCCCATACCGAGAGCAAAGCAATAGTTGAACCGATTGCCTGGTGGTGGGGAGGGGGGTGCCCACTGGTGGATGCAACAAGCTGATCACAAAGAAGCCTCCCCCCCTGCCCACCATTTTTCAGGTGGGGAAACTGAGGCACAGCTAGTCATCCCAGGTCCTGGGAGGCCTAGAATAGCTTCCCAACCACTCGACAACACTTCCCCTCCGTGATGGGACAGAGAGAATGTCACCAACAAACTCACGGCACTGGGAGTGGAGTGGGGGCTAGTGGTTAGAGCAGGGGGGGCTGGGAGCCAGGATTTCTGGGTTCTCTCCCCAGGCTCTGGGAGGGGAGTGGGGGCTGGTGGTGAGAGCGGGGGGGGCTGGGAGCCCGGACTCCTGGGTTCTCTCCCCGGCTCTGGGAGGGGACTGGGGGCTAGTGGTGAGAGCAGGGTGTGGCAGAGTCAGCGGGTTGGCTAATGTCTTCAGTAACGGAGCGGCAGGGAACACACGGGAACAGCGGCCGCCCGCAGGTTGTGCGCCTGTCTTGGCTGGGTGGGGTGGGAAGGCGCCTGGCTCCCCCTAAGGGCAGGAGCTGGCGCTGCGCCCGTTCCTGCATTTCCCACATGCTGGGGCTTAACTTTGATGCCTGATCCCTCAGGACAGGACGGACACGCCCGGTCTCCTGGGTTCTATTCTTGGCTCTGGGAGGGGAGTGGGGTCCGATGGTTAGAGCACGGGGGGCTGGGAGCCAGGACTCCTGGGTTCTCTTCCAGGCTCTGGGAGGGGAGTGGGGGCTAGTGGTTAGAGCAGGGGGACTGGGAGCCCGGACACCTGGGTTCTACTTCCTTGCTCAGATCAGTCCCAGTCTGAGGCTCCCTGCCTCGCCTTCCTGTTCCTGCCCCGAGGTGGCAGCGGCCCACCCTGCTCAGGCCCCAACCTCTAGCTCCCTCCCCCGCAAAGCGGGGCCCTGGCATCGGAAACTGAGACTGGGGGAAAGGTCAGGAAGGGCCAGGTGCTGATGTGGCACGAGGCCTTGAGGAGCTGCCCAGGGCACCCCACTACCAGAGCCGGGGAGAGAACCCAGGAGTCCGGGCTCCCAGCCCCCCCCTCATCTAACCACT